CGTGGCGAGGTAGACCGGCGCAGTGGCGAGGTAGACCGGGGCGGCGGTGAGGTAGACCGGGGTGGCGGTTATGGCGGCGAGGTAGAAGAACAGGGGGCCGGCGGGGATGTAGATCAGGCGCCAGTCGCCATGGTTGTTCGCGGCCTCGCGGGAGAGAGATGGGGGCGAGGGGTGGCGGCTAGGTCAGCGAGAGGGGTGGGGCGAGCGTAGTGGGTCGGGAGGAGATTTTTGCGGGGGTCGAACCGAGCCTCGCTGAGCCCAGCTCGCATGTACGTGGGTGCTCCAGCGAGCATAGCTCGGGGCCTTTTTTGCATCAGACGGGCTATGCCCAGAAGAGCCCATACACCCTGCCAAACACCTGAAAGTGGGTTGGGTAGGGAACTTTTAGCCTCATGCACCCTACACGCAGGCTACCAAACACACCCTGAGGAATCTATGCCTGGAGCTCTCTCCGCCCACTTGCATAAACAAGCATTATCGTTGTTGGCGCTCACTCCAGCGTGGGAGTAGTACTCATCATAAGTGTGAGGCTGTGAGCACACGGTCGGGTCGCCCCGTCCCGATGAGCCATGCCGTGCCGCTTCTCGGGAAGAAAGAGGCCGCGCGGCCGGAGCAGGCGGCGCCAAAGGGGGCTCGGAACGACGGCAGTGCCAGCTTCGTGCGAACATGCCTCAACGGCGTCAACGCCTTGTCAGGTGTGCCTCCACATCGATCATCCATGGTTTTCCTTCCGTTGGCTTCGCATGTACATTTCGTCGGGTTGACACTGTTCGACGCTCCGATGAGTAGGTGTTGGGGTGCTGTCGGTGCCCTACGCCCTGTCGGAGGGTGGGTGGCTGAGCCTGCTGCTGCTGGCCGCCGTGGCTGCCGCCTGCTGGTACACCGGCCTCCTCGTCGGGCGCTGCATGGACGCCGACCCGGCAATCCGGACGTACCCGGACATAGGCCACCGCGCCTTCGGCCGCCCCGGCCGCCTGCTCGTGTCGTCTTTCCTGTACGCCGAGGTCTACCTCGTCGCCGTCGGCTTCCTCATCCTCGACGGGGACAACCTCGACAAACTCTTCCCGGACTCCAGCGTCGCCCTGGGGCCCGTGTCGCTCGCGGGGAAGCAGCTGTTCGTCGTGCTCGTCGCGCTCATGGTCGCGCCCACGACGTGGCTGCGCAGTCTGGGCGTGCTCGCGTACGTCTCCGCAGCAGGCGTGTTCGCGTCGGTCGTCGTCGTCCTCAGCGTGCTCTGGGTGGCGGCCGTCGACGGCGTCGGGTTCTCCGGGAGAGCCACTACTATGCCGCTGCGGCTCGCCGGCCTCCCCACCGCTCTCGGCCTCTACACCTTCTGCTACTGCGGCCACGCCGTGTTCCCGACGCTGTACACATGTATGAAGCAAAAGTCCCAGTTCCCAAAGGTACTCGCCTCAGCCTCATCGATCTGCTGTTGAAGAGTCAAGATCGGACAATTATTATAATCCTAAAATATACTGTGCCAAACGTGAGATCTAAGCATTTGTCTTCCTAATTAACCAGATGCTGGCGATATGCTTTGTGCTGTGCACGCTCAACTACGGCTCAATGGCCGTGCTCGGGTACCTCATGTACGGCGACGGCGTGCAGTCCCAGGTGACGCTGAACCTGCCGGCGGCGAGGCTCAGCTCCAAGATCGCCATATACACGACGCTGGTGAACCCGCTGACCAAGTACGCGCTCATGGTCACGCCGATCGCGACGGTCATCGAGGAGAGGATCTATGTCGCGGCAGGCCATGGCTCCGCGGTCCCCGTGGCGGTGAGGACGCTGCTGGTGCTCAGCACGGTGGTCGTGGCGATCGCCTTGCCGTTCTTCGGCTACCTCATGGCGCTAGTGGGGTCCTTCCTCAGCGTCGGCGTGTGCATGCTCCTGCCATGCGTCTGCTACCTCAGGATCTTCGGGGCGCCGTCCGTGAAGTGTCGCCGCACCGCCATGGAGGCCGCCGCGATCTTCGGGATACTGGCGTTGGGTGCGCTTGCGGCTGTAACAGGCACGTACTCTTCTGTGATGCAAATTATCCACCACTTGTAAGTAGTATATCCTGGAACATAATGCTCGGTCTTTCGTTTCATTTTTGCGGGGGAATCAAGCTGTTTACTGTAGTTTCTTCTTCTTCTTCTTCTTCTTCTTCTTCTTTCTGAGTATACACCGTAGTTTCTTCTTCGTTTGCCGCACTTTGTTCTGATATACGAGTTGTCTAATTTTATTTTAAATCTTTTTGAAAGGATATTGCTAGATCATAGTCAAGTGACATAACATGTAAGAAAAAAAAACTGAAGAAAAAAAAGCATTGTATGAATCTCGATTTAAGATCTCACGAATATAGTACTATCAACCAAGACTCGATGTAGCAAGACTGTTTCTGAAAACCCCTCATCGCACCAGATCGCAAGCGAACAGGCTATGTGTGTATATCTATCGCCGACCTGGAAGAACAGGCAATTTCTCTTGCTGATCCTGGACGGCAGCACACCTCTGACGAACTTGTTGACGTATTGAGAACGGGGGTCGCCAGACTTGCCTGCCTGCGGCCTGCGACGTGGCTCAAAAGGGGGCCCAGCACGGTCCATCTTCAGCAACACAAACCCAAGACCCTCGCGTGGGGCCAAGCCTCGCGGGGCGGACGACGCGGAGCTTCCTCATGCACGGCCTCATCAGGCTGGCTCACGAGTAGGCGGAGAGATCAAGGTGGGGTACCTCACGAGGTGCCCGTGACGCAAGCCATGACGACTCAGGGCGCCAGGCGGGTGCCAGCCCGCGCAGCGTCCTCCATTCCTCTTTGGTGCAAAGGGGACAAGCGCAGCGCGGAGTACCGAGGCATCAGGCAAAGGTTGCCATTTCGATGCAACGAGACCAAGACCAGGAGGACTACGAGTCGGAGGTCACCGTGGAGCCCAAGACGGCGTCATCACCAGAGCTTTGCGCAGACGAAGACCACTTTTGTCAGGATAACTGATACTTGTTGTCCCCCTTTAAATTAGCCCGCCATTGTTGGCTCCCTTCCCGCTCGATATTTGGGAAGAGGATCAGGGCCTCTATAAATAGGACCAGCCACCCACAGAGCAAAGGGGTTGAGAGGTTGGAAGGAAAAGGCTCGTTAGAGAGGGTCTCGATCAGAGAGAGAGAGAAAGGTGACTGAACTCCTCCCAGCAGTTCATCGCCCCAGCCAAAAACAGACTCTCGCGAGGCCGTTCTTTCTTGTAATGTTCATCATCATCAGCCCACGAGGCAATTCACCACGCCACACACTGGAGTAGGGTATTACACCACAACGGTGGCCCGAACCAGTATAAACCCTTTGTCCCTTGTGTTGTTCTTTTCATAGTTTAGATCCTAGCATGGCGGAGGGGTGTAGGTAGGTAGGAGGCGAAATCTCCGCGCGCACCCCAGTGTTCGAATCTCAAGGGTCTGCCGGAACCCGAAATCCGACATTTGACGCGTCAGGTAGGGGTGCGCCGGAATTCGTCTTCCACCACCCTGTTCTCCTCCGACCATCACGCCCATGTCTGACGCTCGTCGGGCCCGCGCAGAGCGCCGCGCCGCGCTCGCTTCCTGCGTCGCCCAGACGGCCCCTGTCGGTGGGCGTCCTCGCCGTTCCCCGTCATCTGCCGTCAACACCGCCACCGGCCCGGCGGGGGACGAGCAGCAAGCATCGTCCCAGTATCCGTCCATGCGGCAAGACGGCCGCACCGCAACTCCCTCGCTCACCCCAGTTGAATCTTCGTCCCGCGCGTTCCGCGTGCCCATGAAGGCTCGAGTTGCGCTCATCGCGGCGAACGAGCTCCTGCGCTACCGTCCCGTCGACGACGTCTATGAAAAATGGCTCGACCGCGTCGCCGAGCTCGTCCGCGCCGCTGGGGGCTCTTCCGCGCCGTCCGTTCCGCTGCACCCCGCCCCGCGCGGGCGACGAGGCTCCAAGGCGCGTGGCCCCTGGGCGGAACCCGCTCCGTCAGGTGCCAGCGCGGCAAGAATAGAGCTGCCAAGAAGTCCCTCGCCCGCAAGAAGCTGCCCGGGCGCTCCCTCCTCCAGCACGTCGCGACCATGCTCCTGCTCCCGCGCGTCAAGACCCTGCGCTGCTCTCAGCTGCAGCGCGTGGGGACATGCAAGACCAAGCTCTCCGTCATCCAAGGCCTCCCGTGGCCACAGCAGGCTGCCGCGCCTTCACCACCGAACTACGCAGCGTCGCGTGGCCCGGCAAGTTCATGCCAGACCTGCCTCCTCGCTACGACGGCACGGCCGACCCTGCGGAGTTCCTCCAGCTCGTAGCTGGGCATCGAAGCTGCCAACGGAGACGAGAAGGTCATGGCGAACTGGTTTCCCATGGCGCTCAAGGACGGGGCCCGCACCTGGCTCCTGAACTTGGCTCCAGACACAATCTTTTTCTGGGAAGAGATGCGCACCCGCTTCATCGCCAACTTCCAAGGTACTCGCGACCGGCCACGCGCCGTGAGCGACATGCGCCGCTTCAAGCAACAACCCGGGAAGACCCTGCAGAAGTACATCCAGCGCTTCAACAACGCACGCCTCAAGATTCCCAAGGTGACTGAGGAGGCCATCATTGATGGGGTTATGTACCTAGGGTAGGGTCATGGACCTGATCCAAGTAACTTACCCCAGGACATCCTTAGAAGAGGTCGCCTTCCAGTCGACCAACGAAGATTCACTCGACTAGTCTGAAGGACTCGACCACGAAGACTCACTCGACCACCAGGAGGTCAAGAGGCACTCTGCACTGCAACGGCCTGTAATCAAGTAGTCTTTATGATAGTAAAGGCACTTTATGTGGGGCGTTACCAGTAACGCCCCAGACTTAACTCACCTTAAACCCTCTCCTACGTGGGCTGGCTGGGGTCCTGGCGCACTCTATATAAGCCACCCCCCC